CGCCCGCATCAGCTCCACTGCCTTTCCTTCCTTTGAATTTTGTTCGTGTTTATTTATTTTTAAGAGAGAAAGAGACAGCATGAGCAGGGAAGGGGCAGAGAGAGGGGGAGACACAGAATCCGAAGCGGGCTCCAGGCTCCGAGCCGTCGGCACAGAGCCCGACGCGGGGCTCGAACTCACGGACCGCGAGACCGTGGCCTGAGCCAAAGTCGGACGCTCAACCGACTGATCCGCCCGGGGTTTTCCTTCCTTTGAATACCAAACCCTCTGTCTCCTCCTGATCCCGCCCCCTCTCCTCACTCTCAGGACCTAGGCCTGGACCACTATTTTCCTTCTGAGAAATAATTATGCATGAAACTTATTCCATGAAGCCAAGTGTCCTTAAAACCGTCACTGTCACAGCTATGTTTACTGTGAGCCTCGGAGGGGGGCCCACGCCCCCGTGGAGCTGATGTCCACACTTGGGATTTATTGAGGCCGCTCTCTGGCCACCTGTAACTGGGTCAAGAAGCACGCCATCCTGCAGAAAACTCCAGAACGTTAGTTGTTTGTTCGTCCTTTACTGATTCCCCTTGACCCTGAACCTGGAGGCCGTGTCTGCAGATTTCGGTAGGTTTTCATGTGCAAAGCTGTGCCGTGAGGCGCTACGGGGAAGGCAGTAACAGGTTGCCATCGTGAAGGTGTTTCCTGACGAGCAGGAGAGGTGACAGAGGAGGTGAGGGGGAAGCACCCGTGAGGCGTGGTGGCCAGAAGGGACGTGCAGAGCTGTAGGCGGGCACACGTGGGGACACGTGCTCTCCCAGGGGCTCACGAGAGCTCTGAGGAGGAAGCAGTGTGGTGCCGGGAGCCCGTGGGCAAGTTGACCGCGTGTGGACACGGGACATGTCACAGAGGGCCTTAAATGCCACCGTGGTGGCAGCACTTACCAAGCCTGAGCCCCTAAAGGATCTATCTGGCAGCACGCATCTACTGTGGTCTGAAGTCAGGACAGACCGGAGGGGTCAAGCCACGGGGGGCCTGGATGGAGGTCCCAGCACTGGGGATGAAAAGACAGGGCCAGGAGCACTGCAAAGGGAGAACCGTGGGCTTGACCACAAGCTAGATGTGGGCAGGGAAGCCGGCCGGGCCCACACAGGCAGACAATGCCGACGTCAAACCACAAACCCCGCTTTGTCAAAGAAAGATGATAACGACTCAGGAACAAGTCTAAAAGGTCGCGATTACCAGATTTTTTTAGGAACGCCCCGGAAATACTTGCTAATTCAAAGACAAGGTCCAGAAATACGAGAATTTGGGAAGAGAGGCAGTCGTCATCCCTGGAAAGAGAAACAACTGTCTGCCCAGAAGTCATAAGAGAACCAAGTGGGGGGCCCCTGGGGGGCTCAGTCGGTTGAGCGTCCGACTACGGCTCAGCTCATGATCTCGCGGTTTTTGCGTTCGAGCCCCACGTCAGGCTGTGCGCTGACAGCTCAGAGCCCGGAGCCCGCTTCAGATTCTGTGTCTCCCTCTCTCTCTGCCCCTCCCCTGCTCGAGCTCTGTCTCTCTCTGTCTCTCAATAATAAATGAACGTTTAAAAAAAGAGTAAGAAGAGAACCAACTGGAAAACCA